TCATTAATACTAAATAGTAGATCGGATGACCAAAGGTCTTGTCTTTAAAAACAGGGTAGTGTATTCTACCAAATAATCTGCACCAACCTTCCATGATTTCTTTGCGTGGTTTGTTTAAGGAGGTTCCAACAATTTTTGAATTGATTATGTCTGGGATTTTGGGTAGAAGCTCTGTGCTTTCTAACCTGCATGTGCTTAATATAATAATTGTCAAGTTTATGGCTCATGATTGTGTAATAGGTGCCTGAGGGATTTGAAATGTCTGTCCGTTTGATGCTGCCTGGAGAAATAGCGCTAGTTACTTGTCCTCCAGATTATGCATATGACAAGTTCCCGAGGTTGTACTCGACCTTTCTTTTAGTAACTTAATTGTATCTTGGTTTTCCAAAATATGTATGACTCAATGTAGTCTTTGACGTGCTTTTTTCTATGTTCTCAGGCCAGCTGATGTTCCAGCAGGTGCTCACGTTCAATGGGAAATTGAACTTCTTGGTTTTGAGATGCCAAAGGTGCAATTATTCAGTTTTTCGGATCTTTGGTTTGGTTACTTTGTTCATCCTTTGTCCTTTTGTGTTCTCGTTTCTCCCCCTCGTGGAGTTTGTATCTTTTGTGCGTCTCTTTTCATTTTTTGTTAAAAGAAAAGAGAGGCCAAAGGTGCAAATAAGTTAAATAGTTGCCAGTACTATTGTTATTGTTTAGCATTAGACTCTTTGCACGTGTTCTTAATTTTAAACTCCCAATAGTTATCCCCAATGCTGCAATTTTTTTGCAGTACATTTCGAACAAACATTGAATCATCTTGTTTTTGAGTTGTTGATCGTGCAGATACTTCTTTGTTCATAATCTTCATTTTGATATCTGATCCTGGCATGGCAATAACCTCATCTGTGAATTATAAGTTCAAAATGTCTGTAGTTTAGTCTGATACTGTTCTTTGAATATTGAATGAAAATGAATGAAGCATATATTAGTACATGGTGTGTCACATACCCTTTGATTTTTTTTTAAAAAAAAACTTTCATAATTCAACTTATGAATCTTCAGGAATGGGATGGCCTGGACTTCAAAAGCATAATGGACGAAGCAGGGAAGATAAAGAACACGGTATCTTGTCCTTTTTGTTTGTCTTGGCTAATATTGGGCTATTATTATGCTATATTATTCTACTGGCAGGCTGCAGTTTCTCCCTGTGCTAATGATTCCAAATGGCACTTATTTATACTTTATTTCCAGGGCAACAGACTTTTCAAAGAAGGAAAATTCGAACTAGCTAAAGCCAAGTATGAGAAGGCAATCTATTCTGCTCGTACTCTCCTCATCTTGTTTAAGCGCAACTTTTTCATAAATATTAATTTATTGCCACATAGTCCAAGATTTTCTTTTTCTTTTTGTTAAATTCGTTTGCTTATTTAAAACTGGAAATTGCGACTTTCCACCTCTTTTAGATGGAGGAATCAAACAAATAATTTATAAGCTACTTATGTTAAATGTCTAATTGTTATGGCCATCTCTGATTCTGCAGGTGCTTCGTGAATTCAATCACGTCAATCCACAAGATGATGAAGAAGGAAAAGTTTTTTCTAATACCCGAGTAAGTACTTGCAAGCATTTGATCTCGAGTCATCTTAAACTTGAACATTTGACCTGGTTTGCTGCCAACCTAGTCGGTTTAAGACTTGTCCTTCATATCTGATTTTTCAAGGATTTGTTAAACCTGAATGTCGCTGCATGCTACTTGAAACTGGGAGAATGCAGAAAGTCCATTGAGATGTGTAACAAGGTATGTTTTATAACTTTTTAGCCCACTTCCGTCTTGGAAAAGACCATTTTCTCCTGGCAGCTAAATTGATGGCATGAATTTATTCATGGATTACATTTGACTGTTACGGTGATCTCCATTCGCAGTATCTGACAGGATTCTCAGCCTGTATTCTTTTGAGCCACGGTTGTTCCCTGCACCCCACTCATATACAAAGAGTAAAGTGGCGTAGGGAAGCAGGGGGAACATTTGGATGATCAGAAGGATTTAAAAATACAAAGAACAATTATATTTTAAAGGCAGTTAAATCAGTCATAGAAACCCAAATGCTTAAGTTGTTGTTAGGCTAGAGTGTGAGATCGCACACCGGTTGGATAGAGGAACGAAACATTCCTCATAAGGGTATGGAAACTCTCCCTAATAGACGCGTTTTAAAACTGTGAGGTTGACGGCGATACGTAATAGGTCAAAGTGGACAATATCTATTAGTGGTGTGCTTGAACTATTACAAATGGTATCAAAGCTAGACACTAGGCGGTGTGCCAGCAAGGGTGCTGGTCCCCAAGGGGGTGGATTGTGAGTCCCACATCAGTCAGAGAGAAGAAAGAAACATTTCTTATAAGGGTGTGGAGACCAATCCCTAACAAGCGCGTTTTAAAATCGTGAGGCTAACAGCAATACGTAACGGGTTAAAGCGGACAATATGTGTTAGTGGTAGGCTTGACTATTACATAGAGTCCATTAAATCTATTTTTAGTTTATTCTTTTATTAACACCCTCCAAGTATGATTTTTTTTTTTTTTTTTTTTTTTTTTTTTTTTTTTTTTTTTTTTTTTTTTTGCAAAAGCCAATAGGTGTGCCATTAAAATGGAATGAAGAATAAATAGTATCATAAAGATTTAAACTCGGATCTTCGACTCTAGGATAAATGAAATCATTTACAAAGTCCATTTTTGAAGATTTCTTTACGAATGAGTTTTGATAATCTGATGAACTTGATTAATGATTACAGATTATTTACATGTTTTTTTACTATGTTTCATTCCATACTAGTCCTTGAACAGTTCTCTTAAGTGGGTATTATGCAGGTTATAGATGCAAACCCTGGAAATGCCAAAGCTTTGTATCGTCGAGGGATGGCCTACATGACCCTCGGAGACTTTGAGGAAGCAAAGAACGACTTTGAAATGGTAAAGTTTTTTAATTTTTCAATGGTATGCTCTGGATGTTTTACTCCCATTTCTGAATTATATATACTTCACACCAATAGATGAAAAAAGCTGATAAATCATCTGAAGCCGATGCCACTGCAGCCCTCCTAAAACTGAAGCAAAAGAAACAGGTCAGAATAAAACAATCTCATCATTTCAATTTAGCATTAAAGAAGGGAGCGAAATTATTATAAGATATCATTTTGATCTTCTGCTTCACTATTCCATCTACAGGAAGTGGAGAAGAAAGCAAGGAAACAGTTCAAAGGACTATTTGACAAAAAACCGGGCGAAATTTCAGAGGCTGGAGCTGAAGATAGAGATCTCCAGAACTCAGGTGAAATCCAGGAAAACTCTGATAAGTTAGAACAAAATGAGGATGACAAATGCTCTGAATTTAGTGATGATAGTATAGCAGATGACTATCCAAGGGATTGGTTATCCCGCTTCTGGCCTGCCGGTAGACGAATATTTTCAGCCCTCGGGCTGAATAGATGTTCCATACTATAGATTATAAAGAAAAAGAGAGAATATGTTAGGAGGGGCAGCTCAGCTTAGCCTCAAGGGCATTATGAATTATACAATAATCTTATTGGATCATGTACATTAAGATTAAGAAATGCAGGATAAAGAATCATCCATATTTGTCTTTTGATTCATAAGGTCTGTGGAGATGAAATGTGTTTTAGGATTCAGATTCTTGGTGCATTTGTTTCTGTACTTTTCACCCGAGTTTAACAGATTATTCAGATTCTTGGTGCATCTGTTTCTGTACTTTTCACCCGAATTTAACAGATTATTCAGATTCTTGGTGCATTTGTTAGATGAAAAATTGACACGTTTGTATGATGCTTTTAAACTTAATTCGAACGAGTGTTCTAATTGTTGCCACGTGGGTTTCTACTCCAATAGTAGTTTTGATATGTTTACGAGAGGTTAGAGATTGTATGGTAACTTTTGAAGTTAAATTGGGTTGTTATTACTCAATGAGATAAAAAGTAAATAAATAAAATAAATTAGGAAAAATATAATTAAGTATTAGACTATTTTTTAAGTTTAGGGAGAGAAATCAATGAGCATCATTTACTAAAAGAACCTTAAAGTTTAAAAATTAGTAAAGCTATAATTGTATGAATAATGGTTATTTTGTGGTTCCACAAACATACCACTAAAATGTTAAATGAATAAAGTTTAAATAAAGTCTTAAAAACAATATATTATAATCAAATAGATTGGGATATGATAGATTAGATAAGTTAATCATATACTTAATAATATATTTTTCCCTAGTAATAACTAAAATCTTTATATTTTTTTTCTTTGGATTAAGTAAAATTTGTTTTAAAGAATGGTTGGAAAATAAAAAATAAATAATAAATGAATATCTTCCGTTGAATACAATCAAATCTACAAAGTTTTCGCTTATTTGAACCCTAAACCTAACCTAGTTCATAACCCACCAAACCATACAAGTTAGGTAAGATTGTTCAAACTTTTAGAATCCGATAAAAGATTCGGAAATAATATTTGAAATTGGAATGGGTAATTAAAAAATGGGTGGTTGAAGAATTAGAGGAAGGAATAAATGAAAAGCAAAAGAGAAAAGAAAGGAAGAAGATGAAGAGTTTGTTTCCCTCTTAGGCCCTTCAAATTATGTTTCCCTCTTAAACTCATAGCCGTTGGGGGAACAAATTTAATTAATTTTTTATTAAGGAGACATTTCTTTTTATTTGGTTGCTTATTATTTAAGAAATTAAAAATATATTTTAGTTATTTACCTATTTTTCTTTTCGGCAATTTTTACTATAAATTCTTGTTCATAAACTACAATCCATGACTAACATTTTCTTGTTTTTTAAATTAATTATTATTTTTTAAATATTAAAGGATATAAGGGTTATGTTATGTTTTTTTTTAACTAAAAAAAGAAAATTATGTTATTTTTTAATAACTTAAAAAAAAATTGTCATTTTTTTTCTTTCCATGTATAAAACGGTACTCCCTCTTTCACGATTCCCTTGGCTCGTAGTTCATTTTCATTTTGAAACGCCAAAAGTTAATTTAATTGCTGCATTGCATCTGCCATTCACGAACCCTCGTTTAAGGAACGCAAAGCTTCCATCTTGGGGACCATGGATGCTTTGTTGAGCTCTCATCAATATCAATGGCGGACGGAGGCTCTCCCTGTCTCCTACTTCATGTGTTTATCCACGAAGTAATCATGATTTAAATTCACCGCTCTCTTTCTTTCATTCTTTCTTTATTTGTTGTTTGTTTTAACCGTTTGTACATATCCTTTTCATTATCGGGCATGGTTGATTTGTGATGAAACCTTTTGGATAGAGCTTTAAATCGAAATCATTACGAACCCCATTTTCTTTGATTTGTCTTTCTGGGTGTTGGAATCTCCATCGGAATTTGTGTTTTGAGCTTGATTTGCAGAAGGGTTTGGATTAATAAGGCTTCTAGTGGGTGGATTCGAAGTGGGTTGCTTTGATTTTGTGCTATGGTTGTGATTGAAGAACGGAAATTGTAATGGATGAGAGTGTGGTTGAAAAGAGCCAAGGGATTGGCCACATTGTGCCTGAAAATGAGATGTTTAGCCATTTGGTTGAAGAACATGGACGTGAGAGTAGCTCGAGCTCTGATTTTCTTACATCGGAAACCACAGGGGGGCTTGAGGAGCACAGTCACAGTGGCTCGGAGGACTCATCGCCCCCTTCTTCATTGAGTTGGTCCACTCGAAAAGCTTACGGACCGGATTGTATTAGACCTAATGTTGCTGATAAAGAAGAAAAAAGCTATGATGATAATAGGAAGGTGGAGAAGAAAGTATCTCCCTCGTCAGGTAATTTTGGCCCTCTTTTCTTTGTGGGGTTTCTCCATATAAACTGTATTGATCTTTTAATGCTGTGTGGGGATTACAGAGGTTGAGATGTTGAAGGAAAGGTTTTCTAAACTGCTGCTCGGAGAAGATATGTCAGGCTGCGGAAATGGGGTTTGTACGGCGTTGGCTATATCGAATGCCATTACAAATCTTTGTGGTATGCTTTGACTTATTGCCTGATATTCTATCTAGGATTGGCATTGGTAGAAACTGATTCCCTTTGCCATTGTTTTGTTATAGCCACTCTGTTTGGGCAACTGTGGCGATTAGAACCTATTTCAGAAGAGAAGAAAGTGCGGTGGCGAAGGGAGATGGATTGGCTTCTTTGTGTTAGCGATCATATTGTCGAGTTCATGCCTACTTGGCAGACGTTTCCTGATGGAAGCAAGCTTGAGGTACTGAATAACTTCAAACAGGCTTGTTATGGCTATATGGGTTTTGTTTTCTAAGTATGAAGTTTGTGCCTGTTCGAATTGCCTGTTGCCTTCCGTATTGTTGCCTTCATAGCTTGTGAATATGTTCATATATAAACGCTAAGTAAATTTGTACAAACACTGACGAAAAGCGTCAACGATTAATTCTCTCTTTTGGGTTATATGTTAGAGTCGGATTTTTTGTTCAATACAATCATAAGGTTTCTGATTTTGTTGTAAGAACAGGCCTGCATCGAGAACGTGAAAACGGGAGAGTTTGTATGTTTATGTATTTGTAAAAGCATCAATTTTTTGATGGGGTTTTTTTATGACCCTTCAGGTTATGACGTGCAAACAACGCTCGGATCTTTATGTTAATCTTCCTGCTCTTCGGAAACTGGACAACATGCTTCTTGTATGATTCACCAATGTCCACTCGTCTCTGTGTTACAAACGTTTGAGATTTGTTCTGAATTTCGTAAAATAAACTTTCTGCAGGAAATATTAGATAGTTTTGAAGTTTGTGAGTTCTGGTATGTTGATCAAGGGATACACGGCCCTGAGACTGATGGGTCTTCCTCTTTCCATAGAGTGCTACAGCGTCAAGAAGATAAATGGTGGCTTCCCGTGCCTCGAGTTCCTCCGGGTGGTCTCCAGGAAGACTCAAGAAGGCAACTGCAACAAAAGCGCGACAGCACAAACCAGATATTAAAAGCTGCAATTGCAATTAACAGTACTACTTTGGCTGATCTCGAAATTCCCGAACCATATCTCGAAGCCTTACCGAAGGTACGAGATGCTTGAATTGTTACAATTCTGATATCTAAAGTAGTGTGGTTTTCTAATCTTTTATTCCATTTGGTTTCAGAATGGAAGAGCCTGTTTGGGAGATCTCATATATCGATATATTTCATCAGATCAATTCTCTCCTCAATGTTTACTTGACTGCCTTGAAATGTCATCTGAACATCAAGCTACTGAGATCGCTAACCGGGTCGAGGCTTCTATCTATGTATGGCGGAAAAGAACGAGCTCAAAACCTGCTATGAACTCAATCAAACACAGTTCAAAATCGTCATGGGAAATGGTGAAGGAGCTGATGGTCGACTCGGAGAAAATGGAGCTGCTAGCAGAGAGAGCAGAAACTCTATTGCTTTGCCTGAAGCAACGGTTTCCTGGTCTTCCACAGACAACCTTAGATATGAACAAGATCCAGTACAATAAGGTCTGTCCCTACTGGAACCTTTTAACATTTCCACTGAGCTTAACACATAGTAACTTGAGTAGGTAATGTCTGTTTTGATCGTTTAGGATGTCGGAAAATCCATCCTAGAGAGCTACTCTCGAGTTTTGGAGAGCCTAGCATTCAACGTCGTTGCACGAATCGATGATTTGCTTTATGTGGACGATCTCACAAAGCATTCTGATCAGCAGCTCTCGTCCATATCGAAACTTGGTGTGATTTCTCACAAGAACAGCCCATTGCATTTCTCAGTGCCCATCTCTGGCACTCCATATAAAACACCATTTGCCACTCCAAGCTTTTCACCTGTTCAAGCAGCGAGTCCTGCCAAAACTGCCCAGCGTGGGTTCGGTATCAGAAAGGTTTTGATCGACTACCTTGGTATCGAAGCAAGAGGAGGAAAAGAAGCCAGCAATGATATAGAGAAACTTGAATCAGTTGCCTACGCAGAACTCGACAAGCAAACCGCTCAGCTCAGGGAAGGAGTAATGAGCTTCCCCTCCCCCGAACAAGGATCGTTTGCATGAGTAAAATCCAAGCTTGGTTTTCATGGCTGTACGTTTTCCAGTTGAATTTGTCAGTTTTGTGGATGTTTTTTTGTATGTATAGGATGTATATTTAGTCTTCAATTTGGCTTGTATTTGTGTTGATGAGGAATCAAATGCTCCGCCTTCAAAGTAATACATACGTGCTTATTAATCAGTGCACCATTAAAAGTCTTTTGGCAATCCTTTCTTCTCAGAGTTCATAATTTGTTCTGATTGATTCTTTTGATTCCGATTTTGACGTAACAATGACGCCGTTGGTTGGTTCGGTTTGGTTGGGTTGGCACAGTATTTATTCTACTTTCAAAATTATGAATGGTGTGTGGACCAGAACAAGAACAAGATTGAACAGAACCGGAAGTAGCATCAAAAAAGAAAAAGGAAAAAAAATGAAGATCAAACATTGCCAAGAATTGTGGCTGCAGAATCTCTGTCCCTATCCCATCAATCTTTTCAATTATTTCTTTTCCCAACGGCCAAACATAACGACCATGGAAAAGCAAGAGCCATAAACATCCACAGAAAATGACTGGTTTTGGCATGCAACTCTGTCAACATATCCTTAACTTCAGGTAAGGATCCGAAAATGACACTTACAGTGTCATGTTCATCGTTTGGGAGCTAAACAAGTTGAATTATGATCAAAGAAAACAAGAGTATCTTAATCATTCTGAGATATACGTACCTTCCTATGATACTGATTAGCAAACAGCGCAGCAGGTTTCATTTATGCTTAAAAACACCAAGGTTCAAACAAAACAGCAAACAACAGCAGTAGCAGCAACAGCATTCTTTACAGTAAAATTTAGAAAGATGCTTATAACTATTCCATTAACTAAAAGAGATTCTGTTGTGTTCGGCTGGAAAATGGATCAACCAGCTTTGTTGTTCACAACGATCTCGCTATCGTCTAGCTTCATAAAATAAGAGGTTGATCTATGATCCTATGTACCTGCAAGTATAAGAATCAAAAGTAAATACACAACTCAATCTCACATTTATACAAGTCGATAATAAAGATATTAATCAAATCAAATTCGAATGAAGGTTCGATTGGAAACCGATATAAGTTTACTCCAAACTAAACATCATGAAAAACCACGAAACTCTGGAATTATAAGGCAAGCTTGTGGAGTTGGGTGATGATCAGAATCTACAATTTTAAACTCTAAAGAAAGATACAAGTCAGGGAGACAAACGATCAATTATAGAACAATCAGCCAAAAGCTAAAAAAAAAAAATCATCTTAGAACTAAAAGTACCTTAATAAGTATAAAACCTTGGCAAGTGATCTAGAATTAATAATAAAGAGACCCTGCAAATGACAATGATTTGCAAAAGAAAGTAGAGTATTAGAAACAAAGATAATTTTCAATATATATTTTTTGTCTCATAAGCAGCACCTCTATTATTTCATACCTTGCCACCAATTTCCTCTTGAAGCACTTCCAGAATCGTCTTCTCCCCCGTCCTTCTTGAACTGAAAACATATCACCAGAACAAGTCAAGGCAGATCACTGGGGGGCAAAACAATACTCAATTTCAATGTCTGTTCAGTCAGCTACATGTTACCATTGTTTGAACAGGAGCAAGCAGTTCAAGGATAAGAGTAGTACCATGTTTAGTGCTTTAAGATTATGAATTTATCAAAGAAAATGAAGTGATGAATATAAATTTGTTTAACTCACAGTCGAGTTCACCCCAGAATTGTGGGAATTCTGAGGATGAGCATAAACATCTTGGCCACCATAATAGATTGATGAGGTAAACTGACATGGTTGGGCTCTTTGATCCTGATAGATGGAACCTGAATCTTTATTCTTCGTCTCCCGACTCTCCTTTTGTCTTTGATTAGCAGTATGATCTGCAGAGATAAAAGTTATCAATAAGGAAGAATGAAGAGAATAATATCAAAGCAATTTTTGAAACAAAGTTCGTGGGTAAACAATCCAAAACTGGCTTAGAGTCACTGGATATTGGAAGTATGATCCCTGGTTGTGGATTGAATCCTAAAATTTGTCTTGAGAAGATTTCTCTAGCAACCTACTAACATATTTTCTTCAACACATGATCAAGAATGTTTTCTTTTTCAATATCTTAACGCAATATGGCTAACTAAAAACACTTTTCTGAATTCTCAACCTGTTTGGCTACAATTCTAAAAAGAAAAGAAAAGAAAAGAACCGTTGAAAGGATTATGAAACCTGTCAGTATGTTCTTGAACATGGCATAGGAAACATTTTTATACAATAGAGAGAGAAACTTCAAAATGATAATCCACTAATATTTTCAGCTGTTTTGTTTTTCTTTCTTTAAAAGAATCCTTATCTGAGAAACAGAGAACCAGCTGAAGTTCAACAAATCAGTTTCAGCACCATACAAAATCAAGAGAGCTAGAATAACCAATTTTCAGGTGAGACCCTCAAAGTGAGAATCAAACAAGAACCTCAATGCTCAATCTTCTTCTTGGAAAGATAATCAAATTATATGTATATACAAACCTTGATCATCAGCGTTGGGGATCCAAGGCTGATTTACAGAAGCCCTCTCAATCTCTTTGGTTCGAGAGAGCAGTGAGTCTCCCCCTAACACCTGAATAATTAACACAGATTAGAGATAAAAGAGATAATAATTAACACCATCAATGATTCGCTTCAATTCGTTGGTTATTGAATTAAAACTCAAAGATTACAATAAACAAGAACAAGAAGAGTGAGAATCCATGGAGATTAGTGAGAGAAAACGAAGGAAAGAAAGAAAAAACCTGAAAATGAATTATGAAAGTGAAATCGGACAGACAAAGAATAGAAGGATCAAACAAACCTTGGAAGAAGGGGAAAAAATAGAGCCAAAAATCCCAGAGGTAGAAGAAGAGGAAGTGTGTTTAGAGCCAAAGAGGTCAGTGGTGAGAGAAGAAGAGGAACGCACATGGTTGTTTCCGTCCATTTTGATCCTAAACAGTGAAAACCAGAGTAGGGCGTCAGGTGGTAGTGGATGAAGGGGCTTTAATGGCGGAAAGAACAGAGGGAGCAGAAAAAGAGAGAGAAAGGGGGGGGAAGGGAAGAACACGTGAATGCTGGATGATGATGCAGAGTTGAAATGATGAAGAAACTGCCGCTTACTCACCAATTTATACCCAGAGAAAAAAAAGGCCGTCAGAAATCAATAAATAAATAAAAATAATAATAACAAAAAAAAAAAAAAAAAAAAAAAAAAAAA